ATATCCTCTGCTGGCTCCTCCCTGTGTGCCGGTTGGCACTGCTGGGGGCCGGCCCTCCACGTCTCCAATGTTCGTTGTTGCGCATTACAGAGGATTCAGACATTGTACATTAAATATATAACTAAACACGCCTTTCCTCCTCCTTATCTCTTTCATGACTTTTCATTTAATACATTTTAAACGCTGTAATCAATACTCCAAAAATACTTCACGGCTGGTATCATTTCCGGTAGTTCCGAATGTTGTCTCATGCTACCCACATCTGTAAACAAACGTATTCAAATAAACTGTACCTTCATTTAATATTCAGCAATAATAATATCTCGACGTCTATAGTTGTAGTGTTGAAATCAGTAGGTTTCGGTGTGCAACACTCCGTGTCATATCGCTACTAAATTCACCTCTATAGTAAATGGTATATTAGCCACATGCTAAATGCTAACCGGAGATGAAGGATTTTCAGAATAAAAGCTTAACTGGTTGTGCACGAGAACTTCTGGTTTTTCAGTATAAAACAGCATTTAAACTGACGGTATGTTTAAGGTACTTTATGCCATCAAAACATTGATTTTAATTTCTAACAAGTCCCATTCAAATCCCCCGTGTTCCGCCACCTGCTGCACCTTTTAATTCTCCATTGTGATTCTGCACTTTATGTACTTACGTTTCAAAGGCTTGTAAGCTACAGTTTGCACTGTTTCAATAAATGAAACAAATTTTCTCACCACATCTTTTGATTCATTTTGTCCAGCATTTGCAAGCTGTAGACTCTCTGTCAGAGCCATATTGTATAATTGATGCTTTCAGTTTTCAGTTGAATTAATTCAATCCAAGTCAATGGAACACTCACAAGATGTCACCAAAATCACACTGTCCCTTTAAAATCTTTCAGAAAATTATATAAGTGTATCGAATTAAATCGTATTGAGTCGTATCGTTGGCTGAATATCGTGTATCGTGAGATTAGTGTATCGCTACAGCCCTAGTGACCGTGCTGTAGTTCCTTTATAGCCCAACATTAGTCGCCTTTAGCTTAGCGGTGGTGACGTGAAGTCATGTGACCGTGCTGTAATTCTTTTATAGCCCAACATTAGTCGCCTTTAGCTTAGCGGTGGTGACGTGAAGTCATGTGACCGTGCTGTAATTCTTTTATAGCCCAACATTAGTCGCCTTTAGCTTAGCGGTGGTGACGTGAAGTCATGTGACCGTGCTGTAGTTCCTTTATAGCCCAACATTAGTCGCCTTTAGCTTAGCGGTGGTGACGTGAAGTCATGTGACCGTGCTGTAGTTCCTTTATAGCCCAACGTTAGCCACCTTTAGCTTAGCGGTGGTGACGTGAAGTCATGTGACCGTGCTGTAATTCCTTTATAGCCCATCATTAGCCACCTTTAGCTTAGCGGTGGTGACGTGAAGTCATGTGACCGTGCTGTAATTCCTTTATAGCCCAGCATTAGCCTCCTTTAGCTTAGCGGTGGTGACGTGAAGTCATGTGACCGTGCTGTAATTCCTTTATAGCCCATCATTAGCCACCTTTAGCTTAGCGGTGGTGACGTGAAGTCATGTGACCGTGCTGTAGTTCCTTTATCGCTCAACATTAGCCGCCTTTAGCTTAGCGGTGGTGAAGTCATGTGACCGTGCTGTAGTTCCTTTATCGCTCAACATTAGCCACCTTTAGCTTAGCGGTGGTGACCTAAAGTCATGTGACCGTGCTGTCGTTCCTTTATACCCCAACATTAGCCTCCTTTAGCTTAGCGGTGGTGACCTAAAGTCATGTGACCGTGCTGTCGTTCCTTTATCGCTCAACATTAGCCACCTTTAGCTTAGCGGTGGTGACCTAAAGTCATGTGACCGTGCTGTCGTTCCTTTATACCCCAACATTAGCCTCCTTTAGCTTAGCGGTGGTGACCTAAAGTCATGTGACCGTGCTGTCGTTCCTTTATACCCCAACATTAGCCGCCTTTAGCTTAGCGGTGGTGACGTGAAGTCATGTGACCGTTCTGTAGTTCCTTCATAGCCCAACATTAGCCTCCTTTAGCTTAGCGGTGGTGACGTGAAGTCATGTGACCGTGCTGTAGTTCCGTTATAGCCCAACATTAGCGTTTTACTTTAGAAATAATAAAGTGGTGTTAATATGTGGAGATTATCCTGCTGAACTAAACGTGTAAGTATGATAAACGTTTGTTTGACATACTTACACTTTTGAAATAATCCAACATCACATGGAGAACTCCCAGTGGCTTTTTATTGAGGGAACCAGGAAGATGCTGACTTAAGGATCAGCCTAAAAAAATACGTCACTGCCTCCTCTATTGACACGATGGAAGGAACAATATCAGCATCTTGACCCACTTACCCTTTAGCAGACTAATGGCAGGAAAACAACTAAATCTCATGGAATCTAATCCGTCGTATTAATGAAACTCTGAGGACAGAATTTAGTAGTAGAAGTTTAATGTTAACTATTGATCTTTTCTGACTCTCTGCCCTTTTTGCAACCTTTTCTCTTCGTTGTCTCCCGGCAGTACGGAGTGACCGAGCCGAGGAAAAAGGCGTACGCTGAGTTCTACAAGCATTACGACGCCACCAAAGAGTTCACCAGCATGAGGGAGGCCGGCGTCTTCGAGAGCGTGCGGCCCACTGGAAAGTAAAACCACGTGAGTGTTTTATCAAGAAGAGTAAAGTCTTGATGGATTTAGTAAACCCATCACAGTACCAGGAGCAGTGGATATCTTCTTTAACTTAGATATAACATTACGGGTTGTCAGAAACATTAAACGTAGTTCGTACAGAAACATAATAACTCTCAGTATTGTCAGATGTTTTTTTGTCTCTAATTATTGCTTTCTGTTTTCTTCCTGCAGCGCTTCCCCCCCCGTCACTCTTTCCTGTTCTGAGGATGAAGCTCCTTCTTTGGATGTTATTTACTGATTTAGATGTGAACACCGCTATGCTGTTCTGTTCCTCTAAATAAAATATTCTATTAATGTAAAAAGTGTCTGTTTCTCTCAGTAGCGTAGGCAGAAATGTACTTTAGGGTGGTCCTGTAAAAAAGAGGGTGGGCCAGATTTTTCTTCTGCACATCAGAAGCTAACAACATTCCCCGCCGGTAACGGTGGCAGATTACTTTTAAAATACTTTTGGAATACTTTCTTTTTCCATAACAGATGGGTATGTTTTGGGGAACAGGAGACACGTATTTTACTGTTTTAATGGCTTATCAAGAACTCAAACACAACATATTGGTGTCATTCTGACAGCTCTCTCATTTGCACCCCACATAAAACACATCATCCAGACTGCATTCTTTGTTAAAACCTTTCCTTGGAATATGTTATGAATTGTAAGGTGTCCTTGGGTGCTTTGAAAGGCGCCCCTAAATAGAATGAATTATCATTATTTATTATCTGAAACGATGTAATAACTTTTAAAACTTGTTACAGTCACTTGCCCCATGCATTCAGCAGCAGCAGGCCATTCACTTTGATTTGATCCCGTTATAAATGTCATCATTTCGACAATAAAGAAATGCTACATAAACGTTATCTTACACATTTTATCGAACCATCTCCGTTTCTAACTTTCAATATATTTTAAGAGATCTCTCTCATCTGCGTGCGGGGGCGGGGCCTCACAGACACGCTGCATCTCTCTCGCTCACAGACGTGCTGCAGCGCTGTGCAGTGTGCACACAGCTCTGCCGGTAATGAATACATTTTGTGAGGAAACTTTTCCACCAATAAGTATTCCAAAATGTATTCACTTCAGGTTTACGAAAGTAACTGTACTCAGATTACTCGTTTTTCAAATGTAACGCCAGCTGAATTCACTTGATTTTTGTATTCTGATTACGTAACGCCGTTACATGTAGGCTATTCCGTTACAACCCAACCCTGTGTATATCTCTCCGGACTGTCCACCAGCAGATGAAAAACACCCACCTCTCCGCCTCTTCCAAGGGACGAGGGAACCGTGCGGCAGAGTTTCCGTTAACATTTGTTTTCTTCTGACAGCCCAGCAGCAGGAGGGGTGGGGAGAGGGAGGCTGGGCTATTTCATCGTTATCAGAACATGATCGTATAGATCGCTGCTAGATGAGGGCAGTGGGGGCTCTTCTTGGAGTCTGGCTTTTTTTTTAAAACCAAAGTTCATTAGTGAACTTTGAGCCATCATTTATTTTGCAGGCAGCTCTCTACCTCTCTCTTATGGTGCGTGCCGGAACCAACAATCAGTTTTTACCGTAAATGAGTTCGGTTCAGAGGATAAGGCACATACAACATTAATTAAACTCGATATTTGTTCACTTGAATGTCACTTTGAATTCTATATTCTCAATGGGTGAATACATTTTTTTATAATAATAATTAAATTATTTTTAAAAAAAATTATTTTTTAAAATCACACCGAAGCTTTCTCAGGGTGGGCCAATGAGTAAACTGGGTGGGCCTGGGCCCACCCTGGCCCTATGATGGCTACGCCACTGGTTTCTCTTTGTCTTCAGAACATTAGCATCTCTCATCTCTGTGGGTCCATTACATTTGGCAGGGGGTACATTCCCACATACTAGGTGTTGTACTGTCTTTTAATCACTATTACTATTGCACAGGTGTAAATACCATACACCCTATTTATACATATGGACTCAAGAAGAGTGGGTTATATATCACACATATAAAGAATCAATACAAATATATTTTGTTGCTTGTTGTCTCAGACCCGGCGCCAGAACAAATCTAAAGGGAGGGCATATGATTGTCATGGGAGGGCACACAAAACCGTCATGTGCTGCGGGCCTGCGGCACAATATATATCAAACAGCAAGGCCAACAGCATTGCGCAAAGACGCACACTTATCGCAAATACATACACAAATAAAGGGCAACATAGAAACCACTTTTGAAACATTGTGTGCGTGGCAGCACACTCCAGTCCAGTAGGTAATGCGCCCATTCCTAGGTGGCCGACCGCGAATAAACCCCGTAGAAGAAGAATAGAGAAGTATAAAGTGACCAATCAGATGCGTCCTCCAGAAATCAACGAGGAAGTCGTTTTCAGGCGCGAATCTTGTATCCTTTGGAGAAGCGTTACTGCATTTTCTGTATTTTCTCGGAACTAAACGCTACAAAAATGGCTGAACTCACCTTTCCCGTGTATTCGGCGGATGCCCTAGTTAACTTCTATCGAGTTGAAGTGTTGACCGGACAGGAGGCCAAACACTTCAGTAAGAGCGATCTTATCCCTGTTCCCAAGGTAATGCCCGTTTACTGTTCTTACTGTGTGGGGTGTGTACTGATGGTTATGTTATTCTATCCAATAATGACCGCCTTGCTGCACTTTATCCAGCTTATTACACGGCCAGATACTAAACAAACTATCGACTCGACAGCCAATATTAATGGAAATTATTGTATTGACTGGGAAATGATCGTATTTGATCTGCTAAGAAAATAAACTCCGTTCAACGGCGCACCAACGGAGTTTAACCGAGTATTACTCAAAAAGTACACAGTAAAAACACTTGATTGTACTTATGGTTCTAGTCCAAGTAGTACTGAGTCCAACAGTATCAATTTCATGGCAAAAAAATCATTTTACCTCATCAAAGAGAGCAGAACACATGCATTATTGTAGGAGGGGAGTTTGTCAGAGAATAACTGAAAAAGTACACAGTAAAAGTACTTCATTTTATTGTTGGTAGCAGTCAAACTAGTACTGAGTCCAACAGTGTCAGTTGTATTAAGAACTTAAGGTAACACATAATTTTATCGCAAATATAGCCGTCTTTAGCCTTTCTCAATCCTCCTTAGCAACGGTCATTATAGTGCTTAGCAACGGTCTGTACTTCTGTCATATTGACCTTCTTGAGATGTCCGAATTGACAATCAGAATTGAGTACTCAACTAAGCCATGTAATAACACTAAATAATGAACACGTTTATTCAGAAAGAAGCAGAAAAAAGTTCCTTACGGGGCAATAAAGAATATCGTATAAGCAGGGCATTATAATACTTGATAGCTAAACTCACTGGTTAATTCCAGACATGTTGAGTATCCAGCTACCTCTACTTTTGGTACTTTTTGATGATAATACTTTTACTAGTAAAACATTTTGAATGACTTGTATTTACTGTCCGTCCTGGTAAAGGATTCCTTCCTCTGTTGCTCCCTACAAGGTTTCAGAGGGGTTCATATTCATTTGTTGCACTAATATAAATAAACTTTGATTGATTAATAGCAATTTATAGTATGTTTACAGTGTGGTATTTTGGTTAAGTAAAGATTCTGAATAGTATTTCCATCACTGATGAGCATACTGTATAATGCTATTATTTACATTACATATGTATTTGCCTTTATCTTCTGAATCATGTCAAACCATCACTTTTACTTATATACAATTTATTTGTATGTTATATAAATAGCAATACATTATTTTAATAAGCACACGTTTGGAATATTTGTTTTGAAAGTGACTTAATCAACCAAATAAATAAGCAGCAGATGCATCAATAATGAAACGATAGTCATTAGTTCCAGGACCCTTGAACCCAGGAAGGGGATGTCTTTACACTGACAGTATGAACAGGAGCAACTATTACAGCAACCAATCACTGGCCTCTATGTTCAAACCCTCTAATAAGATAAGACTTCATTTATACCCAAGGAAATTGTTGTGCCAGAGTTACAAAGTGTACAGTTGTGTTATGCTGCTGTGTTTATTGTCTCTAACAGTGCAGTAAAAAGAACAATTCAATAACTACAGGATAGACGGTCACATAATGAATGTAAATATTAACAGTATTTAGTATCTAAGTAACCAATCAGATCAATAAGGTGTTGCTCTTCTCTCCCTTCAGCCCGAGTCCATTCAGACGCTCTACATGAGAGTGTTACACCTGCTGTACCGCTTCAGACCCGAGTTGCACTCCATGGTAAGTGCTGCCATCCAGAGCTCACTTCAATGTGGCTATCTCTGCTGAGGGCAATAATGACCTCTTCTCATTGTAGTACAGATACATCGTCATTTAGACTTTCTTCCAAGAGACGAAATCAAAAAACTGCTCTGACTTTAACATGATGATGATGATGATGATGATGATGATGATGATGATGATGATGATGATGATGATGATGATGATGATAATACAAGTTTTAAGGAATAACATCGAACATTTTTAATTGCAATTTAATACAAAAATAAGTACTGTGGTCTTTCTAGTCGGCTTGCTGCTCTTCTTCTTCTTGATATGACTTTTGTCACAGGTCCCACTTTTGGTGAACATCGCAAACCCTCAGTACCACGAGGCGACTCTGGCCATCACCAGCGTCTTCGTGCTCATGTGAGTGCTTCTCATCTGGATACAACACAGCATGTGTCCCCTCTTCTTCATGTCTCTTCTACATCAACATGTGTCCCCTCTTCTTCATGTCTCTTCTACATCAACATGTGTCCCCTCTTCTTCATGTCTCTTCTACATCAACATGTGTCCCCTCTTCTTCATGTCTCTTCTACATCAACATGTGTCCCCTCTTCTTCATGTCTCTTCTACATCAACATGTGTCCCCTCTTCTTCATGTCTCTTCTACATCAACATGTGTCCTCTCTTCTTCATGTCTCTTCTACATCAACATGTGTCCCCTCTTCTTCATGTCTCTTCTACATCAACATGTGTCCCCTCTTCTTCATGTCTCTTCTACATCAACATGTGTCCCCTCTTCTTCATGTCTCTTCTACATCAACATGTGTCCCCTCTTCTTCATGTCTCTTCTACATCAACATGTGTCCCCTCTTCTTCATGTCTCTTCTACATCAACATGTGTCCCCTCTTCTCCATGTCTCTTCTACATCAACATGTGTCCCCTCTTCTTCATGTCTCTTCTACATCAACATGTGTCCCCTCTTCTTCATGTCTCTTCTACATCAACATGTGTCCCCTCTTCTTCATGTCTCTTCTACATCAACATGTGTCCCCTCTTCTTCATGTCTCTTCTACATCAACATGTGTCCCCTCTTCTTCATGTCTCTTCTTCATCAACATGTGTCCCCTCTTCTTCATGTCTCTTCTTCTTCATGTCTCCTCTACATCAACATGTGTCCCCTCTTCTTCATGTCTCTTCTTCATCAACATGTGTCCCCTCTTCTTCATGTCTCTTCTACATCAACATGTGTCCCCTCTTCTTCATGTCTCTTCTACATCAACATGTGTCCCCTCTTCTTCATGTCTCTTCTACATCAACATGTGTCCCCCTCTTCTTCATGTCTCTTCTATATCAACATGTGTCCCCTCTTCTTCATGTCTCTTCTACATCAACATGTGTCCCCTCTTCTTCATGTCTCTTCTACATCAACATGTGTCCCCTCTTCTTCATGTCTCTTCTACATCAACATGTGTCCCTCTTCTTCATGTCTCTTACATCACATGTGTCCCCTCTTCTTCATGTCTCTTCTACATCAACATGTGTCCCCTCTTCTTCATGTCTCTTCTACATCAACATGTGTCCCCTCTTCTTCATGTCTCTTCTACATCAACATGTGTCCCCTCTTCTTCATGTCTCTTCTACATCAACATGTGTCCCCTCTTCTTCATGTCTCTTCTACATCAACATGTGTCCCCTCTTCTTCATGTCTCTTCTACATCAACATGTGTGCCCTCTTCTTCATGTCTCTTCTACATCAACATGTGTCCCCTCTTCTTCATGTCTCTTCTACATCAACACGTGTCCCCTCTTCTCCATGTCTCTTCTACATCAACACGTGTCCCCTCTTCTTCATGTCTCTTCTACATCAACATGTGTCCCCTCTTCTTCATGTCTCTTCTACATCAACACGTGTCCCCTCTTCTCCATGTCTCTTCTACATCAACATGTGTCCCCTCTTCTTCATGTCTCTTCTACATCAACATGTGTCCCCTCTTCTTCATGTCTCTTCTACATCAACATGTGTCCCCTCTTCTCCATGTCTCTTCTACATCAACATGTGTCCCCTCTTCTTCATGTCTCTTCTACATCAACATGTGTCCCCTCTTCTTCACGTCTCTTCTACATCAACACGTGTCCCCTCTTCTTCACGTCTCTTCTACATCAACATGTGTCCCCTCTTCTTCATGTCTCTTCTCCATCAACATGTGTCCCCTCTTCTTCATGTCTCTTCTACATCAACACGTGTCCCCTCTTCTTCATGTCTCTTCTCCATCAACATGTGTCCCCTCTTCTTCATGTCTCTTCTACATCAACATGTGTCCCCTCTTCTTCACGTCTCTTCTACATCAACATGTGTCCCCTCTTCTTCATGTCTCTTCTACATCAACATGTGTCCCCTCTTCTTCATGTCTCTTCTACATCAACATGTGTCCCCTCTTCTTCACGTCTCTTCTACATCAACATGTGTCCCCTCTTCTTCATGTCTCTTCCTCATCAACATGTGTCCCCTCTTCTTCATGTCTCTTCTACATCAACATGTGTCCCCTCTTCTTCATGTCTCTTCTACATCAACATGTGTCCCCTCTGTGGAAAGAGACTCTGAAAGTTTCAGGAACAAAGATTCTCTCTCTTTTTGATCCATTTCTATAAAAACCTGTCTGAAAATGAGCTGATCAGATTTTGGCCACTTTATGATGTCATAACGATGTCTTGTCTTGTGTAACCATTAGCCAATCAGCAACCAAGGTAACCCCCCCCCCCCCTTATCACCTGAATCTCCTCCTAGAGCACCATTGAGTTCTTTTTAACCGGGCGCGGCGGTGCTAGTGGAGCTAGTGGAGCTAGTGGAGCTAGTGTTGCTAGCGGTGCTAGTGGAGCTAGTGTTGCTAGCGGTGCTAGTGGAGCTAGTTTTGCTAGCGGTGCTAGTGGAGCTAGTGGAGCTAGTGTTGCTAGCGGTGCTAGTGGAGCTAGTGTTGCTAGCGGTGCTAGTGGAGCTAGTGTTGCTAGCGGTGCTAGTGGAGCTAGTGTTGCTAGCGGTGCTAGTGGAGCTAGTGTTGCTAGCGGTGCTAGTGGAGCTAGTGTTGCTAGCGGTGCTAGTGTTGCTAGCGGTGCTAGTGGAGCTAGTGTTGCTAGCGGTGCTAGTGTTGCTAGCGGAGCTAGTGGAGCTAGTGTTGCTAGCGGTGCTAGTGGAGCTAGTGTTGCTAGTGGAGCTAGTGGAGCTAGTGTTGCTAGCGGAGCTAGTGGTGCTAGTGGAGCTAGTGTTGCTAGCGGTGCTAGTGGAGCTAGTGTTGCTAGTGGAGCTAGTGGAGCTAGTGTTGCTAGTGGTGCTAGTGGAGCTAGTGTTGCTAGCGGTGCTAGTGGAGCTAGTGTTGCTAGTGGAGCTAGTGGAGCTAGTGTTGCTAGTGGTGCTAGTGGAGCTAGTGTTGCTAGCGGTGCTAGTGGAGCTAGTGTTGCTAGCGGTGCTAGTGGAGCTAGTGTTGCTAGCGGTGCTAGTGGAGCTAGTGGAGCTAGTGGTGCTAGTGGAGCTAGTTTTGCTAGTGGAGCTAGTGTTGCTAGCGGTGCTAGTGGAGCTAGTGGAGCTAGTGGAGCTAGTGTTGCTAGCGGTGCTAGTGGAGCTAGTGGAGCTAGTTTTGCTAGTGGAGCTAGTGTTGCTAGCGGAGCTAGCGGAGCTAGTGGAGCTAGTTTTGCTAGTGGAGCTAGTGTTGCTAGCGGTGCTAGCGGAGCTAGCGGAGCTAGCGGTGCTAGCGTTGCTAGCGGTGCTAGCGTTGCTAGCGGTGCTAGCGGTGCTAGCGTTGCTAGCGGAGCTAGCGGTGCTAGTGTTGCTAGCGGTGCTAGTGGTGCTAGTGGAGCTAGTGTTGCTAGCGGTGCTAGTGGAGCTAGCGGAGCTAGCGGTGCTAGTGGAGCTAGTGGAGCTAGTGTGTGAACTGCGAGCTGATTTTGTGCAGTTCTCCAGTGTCTGCGCAGGGCACAGAATATGCTCGGGGGAGTCTCCGTCCGCAGCCGGTTGGCGTAGTTTTGGCAGAATTCCGTTGAACACACCGACGTTAACAGCAGCCCCGTCTGTGCGCACGGCACCAACTCCAAGGGACGGGTGGCGCAGTGGTCTGTCCATCAGATCAAGGGGGGTGCTGGGGAACTCCAGTTCGAAACCCGCTCCTGCCGCCACTGCGTCAGGCCGTTGTGTCCTTGGGCAAGACACTTCACCCGGATTTGCTCCTGTGGGTAATGTCCACAGTACATGTATGATATCAATGTGTACCTGTAAAAGCACCTCGAGGCGTGAAGATGGACGGTGTGGCGCAGTGCGCTGTGCAATGATCATCAGATCAAGGTGAAACCTGCCGTTGCTGCGTCTGTAAAGCCGGTGTGTCCTTGGGCAAGACACTTCACCTGAACTTGCTCCTGTGGGTATTGTCCACAGTGACCATTGCATATATAAAAAATATGTGTAATGTGTATTTGTAAAGCGCTTTGAGCATCTGGAAAAGCGCTATAATAAATGTAAGGAATTATTATTATTATTATTATTAACTCTGTCGTCCAGTGATCTAAGCGCCTTCTGGAAAAGCTTCACAAGTCCGTCGGTACGCAAAGGAGCTTAGTGACACAAGTGACGTTACGCATTTAAAATTGTTTGCCGTACCTGCGTACCAGTTATGTGCACCCCTGATAATACGGGATCTTTAATGTATTTAGATATACGTAAGCAAACGAAATAGATTTAATTAATAAGCAGAGCGCTTCCTGTTGTTCTTGTTTCCTTTTCCTAGGCGTAAGTTTCTTCCCATCTGCATGGTGCACGATTTCGCCCTGAGTGACCTCCTAGTTCCAAGTAAGTAAACCTTCTTTAGGTTCAACTGTCAAGAGAGTTCAATGTTCTGCTTCCCTGTTGGATGACCCACACAGCGTCGCTTTCTCTCCCAGAAAAGCAGAGGACCCTGACTATTCTGAGCGCCATCATGAACTATCTTCACTTCAGGAAGCTGAGGATGGTCATGATCCATGAGAAGACATCCAAACTAGTATGTTATTATAATAATACTACTACATGTTATTTATATAGCGCTGTTCCTGGTGCTCAAAGCGCTTCCCTACTAAAGAAGACGAATAACAACAAAAGTGCTAAGCTAGGTGGAATAGGGGCGAGGGGTCAGAGCAGCGGTTTGAAAGTGTGAGGCGTGCCTCCCTTGGGGGGCGCCAGAGAGCTTCTAGGGAGGCGCAGCCTGAGAAGAAAATAACAGTGAAATCTAGCTGGTTAATTTCAGCTAACTTTATGCGAGCGGTGCAGTGTGCGAAAAAGCACACGTCTGATCGTCCGGGACGTGTTATTTATAATATCGGACAAATACATCTTTCCATTGACGTGTCTGACGGACAAGTGACGTTTTTCGCCCATAAATGTTAGTTTCGGTTCTGCTTGTCGATTCCTAAGGAAATGCATCTCGCCGCTTTCTGTACAGTCCGCGGCGGGCGGGACGTGCAGCACAGCGGCGGGGCTGGGAGCAGTAAGAACAAATAACAATTGTCCGGTCCCGGGAATAATAAGAGTTGTGAGGACAGGAGGCGGAGGACCGCATCTCTCGCTCTCTGCACACAGCGGCTCCGCTGCCCGTTTAACAGCCTCATCTTTGTCAACCTTTCTTATGTTCTTTCTCGAACGCGTAATGAAGGTTATTCAGCGTTTTAGCTCCTGTGTTGTTAATATTGAAGCCATCTCCTTTATGAAGTGAAGCAGCCTCCCTGTCTGTGTCCTCGCGCTGTCCTCACATCCCCGGACCCCCAGACTCAGAGGCGCACAGGGATGTCAGTATTGTTTATGAAGCAGGGTAAAGAAAGTACATTATTGAAATGAAAATACTATTTATTTACTTCTCCAAACAGTGAGCAGCTGTGTGCTGCAGGACATGTGCTGCAGGACATGTGCTGCAGGACATGTGCTGCAGGACATGTGCTGCAGGACATGTGCTGGACAGACAGAGTGGTTGGACTCTGTCTCGCAGGCAGGTTGCAGGGTAACATCAGAGAGGACTGGGACTCAGCACGATACATTCAAACACAGAGATGAGACAAGAAGAGAGGAACACTCGAGTAGTTTCAAATGGGGTGCTCCAAAAAGAGAAGGGTAGACGGCGAAAACAGAGCATCTAATGACATGTTCTCTTGCTGGACCTCTTTGAAATGCAATTGAATGCCCCTGCATTATAGCAACAACAATAATAATTGGGAGGGGGGGCGCGGCTGTTCTTATGTTCTCTGAGGGGAGGCTCACCTTCCCACACTTTGAAACCCCCTGGGTTAGAGCATTAGGAGTTGAAGGCAGGAGAGAAAAGGTGAGTTGAGGGATTTATTTCTATTAGTTCACACTGGAATAGTCAACAGGGGGGGGGGGGGGGCGTAGGCTGTAAGCTCTGGTGATCCCTGCAAACACAAGGTCTATAAATAATAATAAACAGCTGCTTTAATTAGGGATAGTATTCCGGTGATAACCATTGAGAGGTTAGAGCTGGACTTTTGGCACATTTTCCTCTTGGTGAGATTTAATCTATGAACGCTCACATGTGAGTCGATAAGAGTTCCTTTGACCATTTCCTGTTTCATTCTCACCGATACGACTGTTGCTGCTGAGGATGCTGCCTTTCTCCTGGTGTGTGTGTCAGTCAGAGAGTGTGTGTGTGTCAGTCAGAGTGTGTGTGTGTGTGTCAGTCAGTGTGTGTGTCAGTCAGAGAGTGTGTGTCAGTGTGTGTGTCAAGAGTGTGTGTGTCAGTCAGTGTGTGTGTGTGTGTGTCTGTCAGTCAGAGTGTGTGTGTGTCAGTCAGAGTGTGTGTGTCAGTCAGTGTGTGTGTCAGTCAGAGTGTGTGTCAGTCAGTGTGTGTGTGTCAGTCAGAGTGTGTGTGTCAGTCAGAGTGTGTGTGTCAGTCAGTGTGTGTGTGTGTGTCAGTCAGAGTGTGTGTCAGTCAGTCAGAGTGGGTGTGTCAGTCAGTCAGAGTGTGTCAGTCAGAGTGTGTGTGTCAGTCAGAGTGTGTCAGTCAGTGTGTGTGTGTGTCAGTCAGAGTGTGTCAGTCAGTCAGTGTGTGTGTGTGTGTGTCAGTCAGAGTGTGTCAGTCAGTCAGTGTGTGTGTCAGTCAGAGTGTGTCAGTCAGAGTGTGTGTGTGTGTCAGTCAGAGTGTGTGTGTGTGTGTCAGTCAGAGTGTGTGTGTGTCAGTCAGAGTGTGTGTGTCAGTCAGAGTGTGTCAGTCAGAGTGTGTGTGTGTGTCAGTCAGAGTGTGTGTGTGTGTGTGTCAGTCAGAGTGTGTGTGTCAGTCAGAGTGTGTCAGTCAGTGTGTGTGTGTGTGTCAGTCAGAGTGTGTGTGTGTGTGTGTCAGTCAGAGTGTGTGTCAGTCAGAGTGTGTGTGTGTGTGTGTCAGTCAGAGTGTGTCAGTCAGTCAGAGTGTGTGTGTCAGTCAGTGTGTGTGTGTCAGTCAGAGTGTGTGTGTCAGTCAGAGTGTGTGTGTGTGTCAGTCAGAGTGTGTGTCAGTCAGTGTGTGTGTGTCAGTCAGTCAGAGTGGGTCAGTCAGTCAGTCAGTGTGTGTCAGTCAGAGTGTGTGTGTGTGTGTGTGTGTGTCAGTCAGAGTGTGTGTGTGTGTGTGTGTGTGTCAGTCAGAGTGTGTGTGTGTCAGTCAGAGTGTGTGTGTCAGTCAGAGTGTGTGTGTGTGTGTGTGTCAGTCAGTCAGTGTGTGTGTGTGTGTCAGTCAGAGTGTGTCAGTCAGTCAGTGTGTGTGTCAGTCAGAGTGTGTCAGTCAGAGTGTGTGTGTGTGTGTGTCAGTCAGAGTGTGTGTGTCAGTCAGAGTGTGTGTGTGTCAGTCAGAGTGTGTGTGTCAGTCAGAGTGTGTCAGTCAGAGTGTGTGTGTGTGTGTGTCAGTCAGAGTGTGTGTGTGTGTGTGTCAGTCAGAGTGTGTGTGTCAGTCAGAGTGTGTCAGTCAGAGTGTGTGTGTGTGTGTGTGTGTCAGTCAGTCTGTGTGTGTGTGTGTCAGTCAGAGTGTGTCAGTCAGAGTGTGTGTGTGTCAGTCAGAGTGTGTGTGTGTGTGTGTGTGTGTGTCAGTCAGAGTGTGTGTGTCAGTCAGAGTGTGTCAGTCAGTGTGTGTGTGTGTCAGTCAGAGTGTGTGTGTGTGTGTGTCAGTCAGAGTGTGTCAGTCAGTCAGAGTGTGTGTGTCAGTCAGAGTGTGTGTGTGTCAGTCAGAGTGTGTCAGTCAGTCAGAGTGTGTCAGTCAGTCAGAGTGTGTCAGTCAGTCAGAGTGTGTGTGTGTCAGTCAGAGTGTGTGTGTGTGTGTGTCAGTCAGAGTGTGTGTGTCAGTCAGAGTGTGTCAGTCAGTCAGAGTGTGTGTGTGTCAGTCAGAGTGTGTGTGTGTGTGTCAGTCAGAGTGTGTGTGTCAGTCAGAGTGTGTCAGTCAGAGTGTGTGTGTGTCAGTCAGAGTGTGTCAGTCAGTCAGAGTGTGTGTGTGTGTGTGTGTCAGTCAGAGTGTGTGTGTCAGTCAGAGTGTGTCAGTCAGTCAGAGTGTGTCAGTCAGTGTGTGTGTGTGTCAGTCAGAGTGTGTGTGTGTGTGTCAGTCAGAGTGTGTGTGTCAGTCAGAGTGTGTCAGTCAGTCAGAGTGTGTCAGTCAGTGTGTGTGTGTGTCAGTCAGAGTGTGTGTGTGTGTGTCAGTCAGAGTGTGTGTGTCAGTCAGAGTGTGTGTGTCAGTCAGAGTGTGTCAGTCAGAGTGTGTGTGTGTAACAGCTTCTCTGTGTTCCAGAGGGCAGGCAGGGACCGGCTGCAGGCTTTGCACAAAGGCATCTCTGAAGCCCAGAAGAAGATCGAGACGCTGAAGTGAGTCTCGATCAGACGTGTGTTGCTGCTTCCAGTTTCTCTCCGGAATGATTCTTTTTTCTTCGTCATGTTTTTGTTTCCAGAGACAATGGAGATACTAACTGATAGTTTCTTGTTCTAGCAGTCCCTCAGCACAACATGTTTACTGTATTTTGTGGATCATTTGAAAAAGATCACATTAGCTCTTAGGCCATAAGGTGAACCCTGTTATCGTTTCATCCCGCTCCTTCTCTTCTGGGCACGTAATTATTGGCTGAACTAGTCCCTTCAAAGCGTAATGATATCTTGGTCAAAAGTAGTGCCACGGTCCGTCACGTGATCGTGCTACACCAATTGGGTAGCTGCATAAACCGGTATCAACAAACAGATTTGGAAAAAATGGCGATCGCCATGGTTTCATCGAGTAGCGGGGACGAGGAAAACGCACCAGAACGTCTCAAAGTCAAAATGATCAACACACAAACATTGTTACATGAATATTACGTCTGTGAACGAAAAGGTTGATTATTTTACCAATACGTACAGGACAAGCTTACAACGGTGGCATTGATTTTGAAGTTACAAATACAATATTATCATATTACAATAATAATAATATAATATATATATATATTATATATGTAGAGGAAACTTCTGTGTAGCATGCAGTGGAGTCACCGACTCATGAAGGAGACACGGGAAGAGTCGGAGCTTTGATGTCAAACCACTGTGATTTATTTGGAGTTGGTACCAGAGTATTCACATCACAAATCCAAGAGTCAGAGGTTCTGACTCCACGGTAGAGTTGCCACGTAAATTCTGGAGAGCCTCTCTCTTGCCAGCCCATCTAACTGGTTTCGCAGAGAGTAAACAACATATTTGAGGAGATAGCCTAAACAGTGTGGGAACACAGAGCTACTTGCCTCGGACACTTATGACCTCGAAGATTTTACCTTGGAGTCCACAAATACAGAGAAGGAAGTGTCCCAGTGTACCCACAACACAGACCATCTGTATCCCAGTATTGACCGGTCACAGAATGGGAACAATAACATTATGGCTAAGCCGCCTGGGTCCTTAAAGAAGGTAAACAGACA